GTGGTACTGTGCGAATCTTTGGTCCTGTCGAGCTTAGATTATTGTGATGTTGTGTATGGTCCGTCATTAAAAAGCATAGAAATAAAAAAATTCAAATCTTGCAAAATGCTTGTTTAAGATTAATTTTTGGAATCAGGAAATACAGTCACATTTCGCATACGTTGGAAACGGTGAAATGGTTAAGCATGAATGATCGCAGGATATTCCATGCTGCTTGTTTGTATCACAAAATTATAAAAGATGCTTGTCCAGCATACTTATATAAAAAAATAACTTTCAGGACAGATGTACATCATCTGAATTTACGTTACAGAGGAATATTAACTTCTCCGTCGCACAAACATGAATTTTTCAAGAGATCCTTTAGTTACCAAATTGCACATCTGTATAACAAGATACCATCTGATTTTAAAACATTAAGCCAAGTTAATTTTAAAAAAAAGGCTGAGAATGCATTTCTTATATAAAAATTAATTTTTATACACTTAATTGCTCCCTTCAGTTGAATCTTTGCTTGTTTTCGTGTCCCATTAATTCCAATAATATACCTACCTATATATGTATATAAATAATTATGTACCTTAGTGTTCACTGGAGATATTCTTTCTTTAATTTTTTACATGTTTATGTTTTATCTGTGGCCATATCAATATTAATTTCTGTATGTTATATCGGGTTAGGTGGAAGAGCAGCACATGGCATACATGTCATTGCTGAACCTCGCCCATTCCTAGTGAATAAAAGCATTTATTATTAAAAAAAAAAAAAAAAAAATTAAAAAATTATGTTTTAATTGAAGTGTTTTACAATAAATTTATCATTTTTTGTCGTAGCATGAAAGTGATGAAATACAATGATAGGCGACGCGCCTCGTTTGGATTGTATATTTTGTTACTTTTAATTATCAGCTGCAATTTAAAAAAAAACCTGTATTGTAATTGATTTCCGAAAAAGGAGTACTTTAAAATGAAGCAAAAAATGTTTTTGTGGTGCACCGCAGAGCTACCCCCCGCCACCATCATTACTACACTAATACTTTAATGGCCCGTAACCTATGCAATTCCACCTGGCCCGCCCCTGACTAGAAACCAATTTCGAAAGAAAATTCAAAGGGCTGTAACTTTTGAACTAGTAGCCCAATCTTGGAACTGTTTGAAATTATGGATTCTACAGGCCACATTCTATAAGAAAATTTTTTTTCCGGGTCGATCTGAGACAATTTTTTTTTCGGGGCTCAAAAAAAGGCAGTGTATAATCTTCCTTTTTTACCAAAAATCGACTACACCAAAATTTCTCGGGAAAACACTTTTTCTTATTAATTTTGGTGCGTAGAATCTAAAACAATTCGTACTTTTTCGATCGGACTTCTCAATCAAAAGTTATAGACTAGAAACCAATTTCGAAAGAAAATTCAAAGGGCTGTAACTTTTGAACTAGTAGCCCAATCTTGGAACTGTTTGAAATTATGGATTCTACAGGCCACATTCTATAAGAAAAATTTTTTTCCGGGTCGATCTGAGACAATTTTTTTTTCGGAGCTCAAAAAAAGGCAGTGTATAACCTTCCATTTTTACCAAAAATCGACTGCACCAAAATTTCTCGGGAACACTTTTTCTTATTAATTTTGGTGCGTAGAATCCAAAACAAATCGTACTTTTTCGATCGGACGTCTCAATCAAAAGTTTTAATTATCAGCTGCAATTTAAAAAAAAAACTGTATTGTAATTGATTTCCGAAAAAGGAGTACTAAAATGTTGTTGTGGTGCAGCGCAGAGCTAACCTTCATTACTACACTAATACTGTAATGGCCCGTAACCTATGCAATTCCACATGGCCCGTAAGTACCCAGTCCGCCCCTGAGCAACAACATTTCTTAAGTTTTTCAGTAGAAATATTACTTTCGGCAGTTTACCAGACACTTCATTTACATGTAAATCCCATCGGAACTCGTAATCCCCAAAAAAATTACTTTTTCCTGATGGTAATTGTTAATAATTATAGTTTGCGAATTATTATTGTTTAGTGTTAATTTATTTTCATTGAACCAATTAGATGCAAATTCATTTAATGTTGGATGATTCTTTCGCCAATATTATAGTGATGAGCTGGAGCTTAGGATAGTTGTACCATCAGCATATAATATCATTTGAAATTGGATATATTCTTGGTTAGCAAATCAAATTGACATATAAGAGAAAAAGCAAAGGGCCCAGGACAGAGCCTTGTGGGACTCCGCTTTCAGTGTTGTCATTGTTGACTTCTCGTCATTATAAGTTGTTATTTGATGTCTATTTAGGGTTGCCACATTGATTGCGTTGAATTCGGTACTACCTCGATTGTCATTTTCATTATTTTGGCCAAAAAATTGTTTTTTTGTTTCTAGTTTTTTTTATTGTTGTTATATTTAATTTTTTTAATGTCATACTTATTAATCCAATTACATGTTTTTAACGCACAAAATAAAAAAAAACCAACAGAAAAAATATTTTAATAAAAAACAAAATAAAATGTTAAACGTATGACAATCAAATTTAACAAAAGCATGTTTTTCAGCAACAAAAACCAAAATATTAAACAAAAAACTGGAGAGCGCGGCGTGATTGGTTGAATTAGTTCACTATAACCTCAGACAACACACACAGTATGTCACGATCCCGCGATCGAGGTTTGTGACTATTTCTTTTGGTTCATGCAGTGTCGCCACTAGGTATTTGGGTTTGGGCAAGTGTAAATTTTGAATTTTTATTCAAGACGTTCCGTTATTTTTTTCCGGGATTTATGTCTATTGGTTAGTTTAGTTTGAGTTTTTGAATGTTATTATTAAAATTGAAACACTTCAGTTTAGTTTTAATAATTCGATACGCAGTCGAAATCAGGAAAGTAGAGCATATGTATTGCCCCCCTTTGAAACCGTCATTAATATAATCGGTGAGGCTTTTGATTGCATCTACTGTTGATTTGTTTTCCTGTAGCCAAACTGTACAGGACTCAGTAGATTATATTCTTCCGTCTGGAATGTCATTTGATCTTTGATGAGCTTTTTAAAATTTGAGAATTGGTGCCTACTATTGAGATACTGGGCGGTGAAATAAGGATTTATTTCATAGCATATGTTAAAATGACATTTTAATAGGTTTGACTGAGTAGGCTAAGCCGTTCTTTACACGTAAGGATAGATAAAGTGAAACAGATGATTGTGCATTCTGATGACATCTGTCATTCTTATTTCAAAGGCACGTTATAAAATGACGTTCAGAACATATGACAATTCCGTTTCTATAGAAACGATCGCGACGGCAGAACCTAAGCTTACTATTTTTGACGTCTCTTAATTAAATTCAGAATTGTCAGAAGCTTTACAATGATTTATACTCTGCTATAAAATAAAGTTTTGTATTATACATGACGACTTTTTTATCGTCTTGTATAATAAATAGCTATTAGCGAAGACTTCCTCGGATAGTCTTTCTATTAGTTGCTTTTAACGTTGGAGTTTTTATGGTGGCGTAGCGGAAGAAGCGTATAAGGTGAAATGACATACTGGTGTACCAACCGGACACCGTGATTTGGTTTTAGTTTTTATTCGATTTTTTAATCTACACGAAACGTTGACTAAATTTCACATAAGCTTTTGCCAAATACTAAATATAATTATTCCAAATCATTTTTAAAGGTTCATGTGTAATTTCCTAGATAATTTTTCATTTTAATTACGCAAATTTTGCCAATTTTTCGTGAATTATTTTGTGTGAGACTACAATTTTTTAATTTTTGATAAAAACAAACACTTCAAACCGTCCTGTTTGGGTCCATGGCTATGATATCAAATTTTCTGAAAATTTAGCATATATTTTAAAAAATGAGGGCGGATCATTTAAAATAGCAAAGTGTGGGGTATTGAAGCATTTTATATTGGATGTTTAGTTCAGATGTCCATTTGAACTATACGAGGTGGTGACTTGCGTAACGCATCATAGGGATTTCAATGTAAAATTCATAACATGCGATTATTGGCTCCCCAAATTATTTTAGAGCAAAAATGTATTAAAGTTTTTTGTAGAAAAAACATTTTTCGCCAATCAACCGTATTAGTTTTCAATTTTTTTCATATAATGACGGAAAATTGGAAAAATAAAACCCGCATCTTTTTCAATAATCTGCGATGCCATGGATTTTTCTAAAACAAATGATATCCAGTTATCAATTAGCAGCAGTTCGAAATGGATTTTATGATCGACTTGGTTACTGTCTTGCAGTTAATGGTGACTTATTCGAACATTCATTGTAAATTGTTATATTAGGAAACCGTTTTTAGTAATTTGGTCTTTCTTTATGTTGAATTCGTTGTTCTAAATACTTTTTGATAGAATTTGATTTGTTTTATAGCAGACATTCCATGGCATGACGGATATTGGTGCAGTTTTTGCATGATAAAATTCCATGGCATCACCGATTATTGAAAAAGGTGCGAATTTTATTTTTCCAATTTTCCGTCTTGATTATGCAAAAAATTGAAAACTAATGCGGTTAATTGACGTAAAAAATGTTTTTCTACAAAAAACCTTAATACATTTTTGCTCTAAAATAATTTGGGGAGCCAATAATCGCATGTTAAGTATGAATTTTACATTGAAATTCCTATGATGCGTTACGCAAGTCACCACCCTGTATAGTTTTCTATATAAGTATCGACCTAGCTCATCTCTCATAAATGTTACTTTAAGCTGTGTATTAAAAAAAATCACTAAACGAAAACAGTTTATAATCGCTAAATCGCAAAGAAATAAAGTCTATTTTCAAAGGGTTAAAGAATCAATAGAAAATGGACGAAAGATTTTTATTAATAAAGATTGCGTTCCAGCTTGGTTGGGATTGCATGGGTAACTTTCTTACTATTAAAGATGCAGATTAGGTTAAATGGGGTGTCTTATAATCAGACTAAACGCCAATTGATCACGAACCTGTGGAAGTAGGAGTAAAAATGAATAAGAATGAAACCATTACGAATCATTTTCTTTAATGAAAATAATGTACAAGTTATTGCCTAGACCACCATAGTATTATAATACACGTCAGAATAGGGTCTGATACATACAATCGAATAATATTGTTATTAGGTAATAGATTATACAATGAAAAAGATTAACCCCGTTAAAGTTAGTAACGGGATTAATATTTTTGTACCTAACGATTTTCACTTTAGTAGAAACAACTGCACTTTTCTATTACACATGTATACTACACACACATACCTATAAAATCGAGTTCTATACTATTGAAAAAATGTCGATTTAAAACATTTAAGTAATTATATCGGGAAATCCACCTATTGTTTTTAAAAGTAGGTACACTATGTCAATGCGATGATGCCTTTAGGTTTCTTTTTTTTTTATAACACAGACTACATCTCTAATATGATTTCGTCATGATATGATTTTTAAAATGTTGACAGTAGGTATAAATTAATAAAAATAGTTTTATTTTGTATACATTAAGATATTTTACACGATTTTTTAGTTTAATACAAGATATGTTTTCTATTCTGAAGTAAACGTGAACATTTGGCTTACATTCTACTGTTTAATGTAGCCGTTGCTAGATCGTCTAGCACCGGTTACACAATTACAAGAAATTTTCATGTCCGATATGGTTATCATTAATTAACAACGGCAATCATATTGGACTAACAAAAATCTTTGGTACAAAGTAATAAATAAATAGGGGACCCTATTCTTGTTTATTTTACTATAATGTCCCTTGCAAATAAACAAATCAGTCTAGGTTAGGTACCTAATAAAATTGTAAACGAAACAAAATGTTGATGTTTAATACTTACAAAATAATTGATCAACAATAATTTTATTAGGAACTTTCTTTTTAAGATTTCTAAATTGGTCCGTTTGCGTAATGGAACCATTTATTAATATTTACATCAATACAAGACAATAAAAATTTATATAGTTATCCTAACACCTATCGTTAACTTATCTACACTTTTCACCGTATCGGTACGTGGCGTTTACTTTCAAAATATTATTAAGAGACCCTGCTTATTTGTTATAAATAATCGCCATTTACCAATTTCCACGGTTCGCTTAAAAGTACCACCGAAATACATCTATGTACATGGTTTAGTCACCGGATCGAATTGAACGAAACAAGAATTTGGTATTAATTTCACTTTTAGCAGTCAAAATTTTTGACAACGCTTAGGAACTTTTTCTCATCAGTAAATGGAAGACTGTTCAAGTGATGAAGTGATAAATAAAGAGAAATAAATTATTTGCACATGTCGGGTTTCGTGTCTGTGAATTGCACACACTAGTCCATAAAGTGATCTGAAAAGTAATTGGCGTGGGGTCATTCTTGTTTCACCATGACGTTGGGATTAAAGGAATGTCCGCTGGACGTTACCAGCGAGAGGGGGCTGGTCGCGAGCGAGTTTGCAATTGCGAACATCGCATTGTTGCTATTATTAACGGAACAGGGCGAACCGAGGGCGGAGGTGGGTGGATTAATTCGTTTCTCTTTTTGTCTCCTATTACAAAACCACACTCGCACTACCTCCTTTTCCATGCACAGTCCGTCGGCTAGCATCGAAATCTCTTCGGATGTCGGTTTTGGATTCTGCAGGAAAGCCTTCTCTAAAGCTACGCGAACACTGGTTTCGATCGAGGTCCGCTTCTTACGTCGTCTGCCTATCGTTTCCGGAGTCGTCATGGGATTGTTTAACTGTCCTGGATTCGTGAGCGTGTTGTCGGCGTCTTCGAGCCATTTTTGTAGGAGAGGTTTCAGTTTGCACATATTTTTGAAACTCAGGTTTAAAGCTTCGAACCTAGAGATGGTCGTTTGGGAGAAGTCATTGCCGTATAACTTTCCCATTGCTAAACCCACATCTCCTTGCGTGAAACCTAGGGAACAGTATTCAATTAGTCATTGTAACGACTTTCATTGTTTGCGTATTACCTAGTTTAATTCTTCTCTGCTTAAATGTTTTGGCGAACTGCTCCAGCTCTTCTAGATCGGTCGTTTCTTCAGGCGAAGGTTCTAGAAGTCTGGAGGGCGTTTTGAGGTGTTGCGGCGTAAGGCCTCCGGAACTAGGCGTGCTCGGTGTTAACAAGCTGGCGGGTATGTGGGAATTGTTAGGCGGTGTCGATTGTTGAGTTTGCGGTATCTGACTGTTTGGAGGAATGCTGGTGTTGTGCTGATTCTGCTGTTGCTGCTGCTGCTGTTGTTGCTGCTGCTGTTGCGCTTTCTGCAGTTGCTGTAGTTGTTGCGCAGCCTGCGCGATTTGGTGCACCTGGAAAATTTTTTTCGTATTGTAATCGCCACCAAACAATGATCGCATGCAAGCAACTAACACGGACAAATCTCACACACCTGCATGGAGTGAGGAACTCTAGAGGATATTCCAGAGCGTGGAAATCCTTGTAGAAAGCCCTTAAATAACCGACACCAAGTTAGATAAAAGTTTGATATTGCGCCATCGTTATTTGGTACGTACCTGATTTTGTAAAAAGAACTGAGCTTGAGGATTTCCGTGGCTTTGTTGTAACATGGCCAATTGTTGTAACTGTTGCAAGCTGGTGGGATTCTGAAACGCTTGCAACCCCCCCAATACTTGTAACGGGTTACTGAGCAGACCTCCTAGCCCACCTAAAGCCGCTAAGGCGGCGCCCACACCTGGACTGGAGCTGGTAACTTGCGGCGAACTCGGAGACGTCGCCCGTGCCGGGTCACCCGTAACCTACAAGACGAAAACAAGATTTAATCGAATCGGAATTAAATTGCAGTAGATCAAAGGGGATGTTTAGTTTTCCCTGATGAATTTAAACATTTTAACTTTTAGAGGGGTTGCAGAAAACTTGAAAACAACTGTTCGAAAAGAACAGTTCACTAAATAACCCGGGGGATAAATCTCGTTTTCTCCACGTCAATATTTGATCAAATTTAATATATTTTCAAATCTTACCAAGTTAAGTGCCCCGACCTTATCAGAATCCATCGAATCGGGATCATTTTGATCGGGTTGATGATCACTCGTGATACTTTGGTCGTCCCCGCTAATATCGCCGTTTGCATCGCAATCTGGAAGTAAATCCATTTTTAGTCCCATTTTAAATCAATCTATTTATACCCAATTTGATATTCGCTGCCTCATTAATTACCTACATTATTCCGATAAGATGCATATTGGTTATAGACATTAAAATTAAACAATGCAACACGTTCCACGAGGAAAAAAGTCGAAGCGATGTGGCAAGTGCCTTCTCTACAGCTATTTTTACGCTCGGTGACTTTTACTCAAGTGACCGCTGCATCCCTAAATATCAAAATTCAGCCGGTGTGAAATTTCTTATAGCTGTTTTCAGCCACAGGCTCGCTACCCCCGTCACTATTATCACCCCCTTCACTTTCTTATCTACTCTTGTGCAAGACTTAACAATCTAACTATTGATGTGTCGGAAAATTACATGTATAAAACGCATATGTATTTTTTCTCTCGTACGTGTCATCTCTTAAAAACTCGACCGCGAAAAAAAAACCGCTACGTCAGTATTAAGATTGATGACGTAATCGGCAACAATGAAGTTGTCAGAGTTTGAGCAAACCCCAATATGTAAAAGTCGTTAGGTCAACTATATCACCCTTACCCTTTATAGGTATTCTATCAATCATCATTTTACCAGTGGAAACCCTTCGATTCTGGTAATGGAGAAAATGGCACCGCAAATACGGTACGGAAAGAGAAAAATATTAATTCTTGTTGGAAACAAAAATTATTAACAAACAGAAAACCAACAAATAATTATATCTATTTTTGTTCCTTTGTTAATTTTTTGAAAACTGATTCATAGGGACGATTTGCATACGCCATTTTGGGTAAAAGCTTCTGGTAATGAATTAGAATATTTGTCTCCTTTCAATTTTCTAGTGAAACCTTCATTTTTGATATAGGGATTTCATTATACCATTCGCACTATGTAATAAATTATACTTCAAATTTAAAGTGATTCAAAAAAACAATAACTTGATTTATCTTTTGATACATTCACTTTTTTCTTCAAGAAAAATCATTATTCATTTTCTGTTGCTATTTATTTTTATTGCAATTACTGCAGTGCACAAACTTCTGATATTTTATTATATATCGTGGAAGTGTAAAGTCTGGAACTATCACGATACTTACGTTAAAGTAAACGTTTTTTAAAAATCCTCAATTTTTATCTTAAATGAGACATATTTTACTGTCATGGATGGATCGTCTTTTGTTTTACAGATATGACGTAAGCGATAATTTTTTAAAATGAAAATCCTATTTTTTTGCCGAGTTTGGAAAATAAATGAAATTCTAAAACCAAATACGCTAAAAAAAGGTATGATACTGTATTTTGAAATATTCGAGAGTTGCTTTTACAGTTTTAAAACCAAAAATCTAAGAGTTCCGTTTTGTAATAAAAAAAATCAAGTAGCCATGTAACAAATGCCGTTAAAATGATGACAGTTCGTCAACAGCTTGTTTATCTGTTTCTTTTTGTGTGGTTTTTACGTATTAAGTAAATAATGGTGCGATATTTAAAAGATATTTCACAACCATACTTTCTACGTATTTGGTTGTTCTTTTCAAATTCAGAATAAAAAATAGGGTTTCCATTCAAAAAAATTATCGCGTACGTCATTTCTCAAAAACAAACGACGATCCTTAAGTGACAATTCCAGTGAACAGACTTTACACTCGCACTGTATATCTGTCCACCTTATACGAAGATTTACCTCGGAAAACTTGCTTTGGTAAACTCATCCCCGCCCTATTTGCGCCTAGGGTTGTTGAGCCGCGAAATATTTACCTGCCGAATATTTGGAAATTCTATAGCGGGTTCTATTACGGATATTCTAAGAATATTTGCAACCCCCTTACTAATGCGAATCAGGTCGTTCAAGAATCGAATGGCTAGGTACATTTTGGCTGCCTGTTCGGGCTAGTAGTATAATATCGCTTGTAATAAAATAGTTATGCGACAGGTTAACTGAACAATAAATTCTACACTCGATGTACAGGGTGTTTTTCGATGTCAAACGTGACAAATATGCGAAACTATAAACAAATAACTGATTACAGTCTTCTACGAGGCAAATTTAATGTGTTTTTTAAAAAAAAATGTATGGTTAATTATACAGGGTGCCCACCATGTATGGAATCATAATAATTATTATTTGATTTAATAATAATAGTACTAATTTATTAAACCTTTGATGCTATTTTACAATAGATAGGCAAATCACACAAAAATCATGGATTAGTAGATATAAAACACCCACATTTTAGAAATATTGATCAAACATGATTTAGATAGCATTCAAATATACTTGGCCTGTGTAACAACATTTTACAATTAGGATCTACCCAATATTTCGGTAAATAACGACTGGATACAAAATTTGTCTATAGAATTTGTTTAACATTGTATTGCTCATACTAAAGGCAGAAATCAGTAGTTTCTATTTCAAAAAACAAATGAGTAATGAAAAACAATTGAATTTTTTTAAAATAGTAATGTGCCTTCTTATTCAGTTCGTTTGATAGAGATTTTGTTTTTCTTTTTGAGGACATGTTAGTATCCTTGTGCAAGGAATTAAAAAAAAATTAAAAAAAACTGTTAAATAATTACATCAATATCATTAATCTATCTATGTATCTACATCAAAATGAAACAAATGAAAAATACGTATTGTTTTCATCGCAATAAGTGTTCAAAAGGTTGGCCATTAACTGTAAGACAATGAAAAGGTACATTTAAATTAATTTATTTAAAAAATTCAATTGTTTTGTGTTATTCATTTGTTTTCTGACATAAAATCAACTGAATTCATTCAAAATTCGTGCACTAAAAAGGACTCTGCAAGGATCTCTGACGCAATTTGTTATTTGGAAGATGTTCCACATGAAGTTAACGGATCCAAAATTAAATTTTGGAAATTTCCCAATACTTGTCGCCAAATCCCATACGAATCTTTGCGAATTTTTTAAATAGAAATGTACCTTTTTAGACTCATTTGATTTTTTTCTCTTCAGTACCCCAATGTCAGAAAATTTTTCAAAAAATTTAAAAACTCTTTATATTAAGTAATTACACCAAAAACATTAATCTAGGTATCCTACTTCAAAATGAAACAAATGAACGTGTACGTTTCTTATTACCCCGCCCACTTAAAAATAAAATATTAGCAATAAAATGGTTTTCATCGATATAAATGTTTAAAATGTTCGCCATTAACTGCAAAGTAGTGACCTAACTTATCACCAAAAGTCTAAAAAAAAATTAACTTCCTGTATAAAGGTGCTAACATTGAAAGAGAAAAAAATCTTTATCAAATGAGTCTAATGCTATTAAAAAAACAATTGTTTTTCTTTACTCATTTGTTTTCTGAAATAAAAACAACTGAATGTTGCCTTATTATGGGAAATAAAATATTACATAACTTTTATATAGAACAATGTTGTATACAGTCGTTATTTACCGAGATAAAAATATGCTATATTCCATACATAATGGGCATCCTGTATAATTTAAAATTCTTTTATTTTACTAGGTTTCCAGAACTCTCACTCTGAAAAACCCTTCCTTTATACGATGGTCAATGAATCGACCTTCCCTTGTCACTCTTAAGCAGAGTACCTGTACCTATCACTAAATCTAACTTTCTCATTATCAAAGTGTTTCATTTTACTTGGATTAAGATTATTGCTCAAATTTTACTTCTTAACTTCAAAATTTCAAAATATGTAGGTCGCTACGATTCAACAAAGTGAGGCTTGCTTATGGGAAATTATTCGGAAAAAAATTAATAAGAGGGCAACTTTGACAAAAAATCAAAAGGTGAACAATTGACTTCGAAACAACTATGTAATTAAAAGTGTAAATAATTTTCCCTATGGTTTAGCAATCGTACCGCGCTTCCACTTTACTTAAAATTGAAATATCGATGCAATGCACACTTTAATTTTTCACGCGTTTATATTGTTTTTCTCGTCGAAATTCGGCATCAGTAAATCACTTTCACGTGAAAATTCACATTTCTTGTGTGAACCAAATATCGTTAAAAAAGTACAGAGTGCTCAAGACCTTTCGTTAAATAATGCAAACTTTAATTCTTTTATTGGAACCTCCCCTCTTATCTGTTCATAAAAAAATCTGCAATTGTATCCTTAAAAAGTGGGTTTTCACGTTCATGCAATTTTTTTGCGTAAATTGTTGCACGAAAACTAAAATCGTTGACTTGCACAAACCAAAAAGTTTGACTTGAGTAAAATTTGGCGTGTCAAATAATTTACTTGTGATTGGTACAAATGCATGAACGTCAATACAATATTCCATCTTGACGCCTTCTTTATTTTATTTTTTTGGCTCTTGTAATTTTGTAATTAAACACTACCGCTAATAATTTGTTTTCGTTGTCCATCATTAGCAACTTAACTGCTTACAAACGTGATACCCTGGAGGTCGAACTGACCTTTGGGCAAATTAAACTGACCGGAGAAACGAATTAAAACAATTCAGTTTAAATTTGCGCAAATTAGTATGCACAAGTCAATTTGCACAAATTGCATGACTGTGAAAACTCACCTTTAGATGAGATATTTATGTAAGGTGAAACAAAACGAAACGGTGTTATAATAACAAAATTGTGACAAAGTGTAAGGCTTAAGGAAAGATTTTAAAAAATGAACTATGTATAAGAAAGGTAATTTCTTTCATATACTAATGGAACATAGCCATCAATGATGAAGTATATGATTCTTTCGCCTAATTAAAATGAATATCAAAATTCAATGCGAGAACGATAAAAAAGATTTATTCAAATCTGTGCAAAAAGGCGGTGGATTTAAGGAAATACGGTAGTATATTTTTATTGTCGGCAATGTTTTGTTATTCAAAGTGACATTGGAATAAATTTGATATTCAAATCGTTCCTCCCATACCTACTATACTTCTTTTAACATTTAACATCCGATTACATTCTAGGTTAGTGAGGGACATTTTCTCTTTGACCAAAAAACCAATTAAGTTGCCTGTATTTTTTTTTTCTTGCGAAAAATTCAAAGCACGCGCGAGTTAAAAGTCGAACCCGCGCGTTCCCTATTTTACATATTTCTGTACGAAATTCTTCATGCGCGATATTTAAATGCTTCGAGGAAGTTCCACTGATCTGAATAAGCTGTTTGATATTCAATCCAAGTTTTTGAGGTTCGATTTGGTTAAAAAAAAATCCGTTTAGGTTTGCCTATTTATGCGCTTTTTTAGTGGGGCGATCGGATTTGATTTTTAATTAATGGACGTGATGGGATTACGCCCGTTATCGTTATACGTTAACACATGGCTAATTCCACATTAAAACGCAATTTTACCAGTTAAAAGAGCTTATAGATGAGCGTCTGACCATCAATCAATCATATAGCAGATCGTATTTCAGCGGCGTTCAATCAAACTACAAACGTTTTTCGAGGGGGTGAATTTTAACCGTTAAGAAAGGGGTTTGCGCCGCGTACATGTATCCCATTATTTCGCCAGAAATAATCTTAGTCGTCGCGTTATAATCGATTATACATACTAGCGGACATATTTTAGCCGATCAGAATGGCGGCCGATCTGTCGTTAGGGGGAAAAGGGTGAAAAGTAAATGCCGTGAACAAGTTACTTCCTAATATATTACCATGTTTTATAATTTAACAATCGGCGTCACGTGTCAGTTAACCCCCGACACGTGGTTACCTTCTTTATTAAAAAGGGTTAAATACTGCTTAGGGTTTTTATATACGCATAATATTTCCTTAGGGGACACTTTTATTGCGACAAATTCTCGTGAGGGCACAATGTTTATATATACCTTTACACGATGTGCAAATTTTCTTAGGGGGTTCTTGGCGTAATGACACGAGCACACTGGGAAAAAGGCCATTAAGAAAATTATACGGTAGCCATTTTTTCCTTCTCGGAAATTCCCTTTTAATTTAACGACCAAATACCGCCCGCTCGATTCAAAAACGAATATGTCATTTTATATTATTACCTTAAATTAAAAATCCCGGCGAGACGAATGGGAATTCGTTTTAAACAATTAAATGCCCCATAAACGTTTTTTAAAAATTTTACTTACCGTCGTGAGAAGGAGGCGTGGATGGAGCTTTTTCGAGTCTACTAAGTGGATTTATTTGGTCATCTAAAAAAAACAGAAATTACTATTATTTAACTATTTTTTTGTTATCGTACATAAATTACATTTCATTATATTCGGCGTCTCACGGAATATTGCATTTCTACGCTTGGTTACGTTAAAGATTCCAGTTTTAGATATATTAGTTTATGGGAGTTGGGGAAATTGATAATTAGTTCTTTTAATGACGCCTGTAATTACTCCATACAATGACTCAAAACGTGAGTAATGTTTGGTTATATATTAGGAGAACGAAGACTGTACAAATATGTAGAGCTGCTACCTAGCCCAACACTATGCAGTTATCAAAATAAAATATCTAAACTATTCAAGAAGCTATCTTCGATTTTAATTTTTAAAAACCCAATTTGGGAAGTCCTATACGTCATTACAGCCCATGTTATATAGCGTGTTCATAATGAAGTACGCAACTTTTTAATCACTAGGCCCGCGAATTCGATTAAATTAATAAATATGAAGAATATTTTCTACATAACAATCGAGATATTCAACAATATAATATTTTTTAAATGGAATATTGTTTATATTCTTAAACAGACTACCCTTCGTTAATTAATAAACATATAAATTATTAAACCTTCAATGGAAATTAATGCATTTTTAATAAAAATTTGGAAAAAGAGAAAATAATTTTTTTCTCGGTTGATTGCGGCTACAACCTTCTTACTCAATTTTAGGGGCAAGATGGCACTCTGCTTTTATATACAAATCGCCCATAATTCGTTTTCCAGCGGTCTAAACTTTTATAGTACGAGTTTCTGGATGTCAGCTTAGATTTCACAACTTCTGCTACTAGCTTTACTACTCTATCAAATATATTGGGTTCGATGTAGGTTCAGTGGATATTATTAGGAGTTATTTAGCATGCCGTCGGTTACAGCTTGTTCGAATGGGCACCACCTACTCGAATACTAGACAAGTGAGAAGAGGGGTCCCGCAGGGCTCTATTTTGGTGCATGTTTTATTCACTATCTATGCAAGTACTTTATATAAGTAATAAGAACCTGCTGCATTGTCTTACACAAATTTACGCATACGACATACAGTTGTATTTTGCTTTTCCGCCCTCAGATACACTCTCTGCCATTCGGAAATAAACTCTGACCTGAATCTGTTAGCTGAGATCGTCTTAAGTCATTGATGAGCGAATCACACCATTGAATCTTTAGTCAATGCTCACACTAAACGCTAACAAGTCATTTGTCGTAATTTTCGGAAACAAATTACATAGAGATTATCTTACAGAAAATGCCAAATTTGCAGTAAATGGAGAGGGAATTGCTATTGTCCGCGAAGGAAAAAGTTTAGGTTTATTCCTTGATTCAAAACTTAGGTCGCAAGTATTTTTGATCACCAGCTGCGTGCTTTATTCCAGTGGGGCGTATCAAACTTGCGTTTTTTTAAAATGGAACACCCCGTATTTTATTACTGATTTAGAAGGTACATATCTTTTAAGTATACACCCTTAATTTATAAAACTAGAGTCCATAGAATTTTACAAGGGGTTGAGTTCTGCTTAATCTCGTAAATGTGGTTCCCAAATTATCGTTTTCACGAGTGTTATAATTATGAAGGATTTCATCCCGTTTATATTTAATAGATTAATTTTGATATAAGTTAATGTAAGATGTACAGGGTCGCTGATAAGTTTGGAAACAGTAGATTCTCGGGGAAAATATACAAGATATCGAAAAAAGTTTTACACAAAAGTTTTGGGGTTCTTCAATGTCTGCTAGGAAATAATCATTTTATACAGGGTTGGTCATAAAAGCGTGACACACCAAAAATATGATTCGATATTTCACTTCTTCTCTTTTTAAACAAAATTTGTAAAAAGTAAAATGTACCTAAATTGACTCGTTTCTGGACTATCGAGTTTTGAAAATAAACGCTATTGTATTAAAATTATTGAAGTGACAAATGACTGTAGACGGTAGAAATTTCAAAAATTTTATAAATCGTAATACAGGGTGGCCCACTGAAAACAGTCGGTGCCAATTTTGACCCCTTAACAACAGTTTTGTCCGAAGCGTTCGAAAACAGCAATTTTAGTATTACATAAATTAAACCCTGAGAATGGGGTGAATTGCACTCCAACAATTTTAAATGGAAAGGGTCGTAAACGTTAGATAGTTCGATACGCATGTTCATTCTGTTTTCTGCACTGTTTTTATTTTTGAAATCTATCTTTGATTCTACAGGAGTTCCAGAGAAAACTCCATTTAAATGGATTTGCAGAGCCTACTTCGTTAACAGTAACAATAATTATTCAAAATTACAGAAAAATTGTTGTGGCTAGCACAGACACCACCCTCACCACATTACAGTTAAAAATGTCCAAAATTGACAGTTTTCTGTCACACTTGCGCGTACGCGATTCTACCCAAAACCTTTTCAACTCCTCTTCCTTTTATGTCTAAGAATATGTGTACCAAATTTGGATTTTATTTCAAAGCCTATTTGATAAACATTTAAAACTGCTCTGCAAATCCATTTAAATCTAGTTTTCTACTAAACTACTTACTGATCGGATTTGAATAATAAGAACAGTGCTGAAAAAAGAAAGAACATGCGTATCGAACTATCAAACGTTTACCACCCCATCCATTTAAAATTGTTGGAGTGCAATTCACCCCCTTCTCAGAGTTGAAGTTACGTAAACAATATTATTTAATTTAGATGTCTCCCTCAAAACAAAAATTGCTGTTTTCGAACGCTTCTGGCAAAACTGTTATTAACCGGTCAAAACTGGCACCGACTGTTTTAATAATAATAATAATATTTAATTGCGTTCTCTGACATATACATGTATGAGTATGGAGAACTGTCAATAATGGAGTATGAGGTATGAAGTGGCCAATCTGTATTATGTTTTATCTTTTTTTAAATTTTTGTAATCACATGCTTTTACCGTTAGCCATTTTTATTATTGGTATTCGACTACCTTAGTTATGGATACAATAAACAAAACAAAATATCCATAAATCCATGGCCTACTATTTAAAAACGTAAAAAATGATTTTATTTTGGGTTCATGAAGATTAAAAAAAATACAGGGTGTCATATACATTGATGTAATCAGGAAAAAGAATGCAAAATAATTGACGTTAATGTATACAGGGTCTTACATTTCAGAAATACCAACATTGGGTCAAATCAAATCCAAATTATTTTTTGAATTAAAATAGTCAGTCTCTACCTTTTTGCTGTCTTACATGGGTAGTAAGATATAACAGTCCAAAAAGTCAAACTTTACGTTTGCACCCTGTATCTCAGAAACAAGCGTAGCTAAATTGATTCTGTTTGTGGTATTAACAGTTTCCCAAAAAAAGTGGCCCAGGGGCGCGTAAACCGCAAGTATACTATTGTTATATGCCTAAATTTTTGGAAAAATTAAACTATAAACGACAAAACAACATGGAGACGATAAATAATGCGGACTTTTACCACCACCACCACTTCCTTCAGCTGAGCAAGTGGAATTCCTTGTAGAGGTTTGAAACTTGGATGAAACAGGCAAGTGGGTGCATTCAGCGTGTAGTAAGCCAGGTGCTGTATTTAAACATATACAGGGAGATTCATTACGTAGACACAATTGCCATATTCAAAGATGTACTCTTTGCCATATTTATCTTTTTATGGACCACATCAAAACATTAGCAATTTTAGGGAACTTAAATAGCAATTATTGATTATTACTGAAAGGCCGGGGAAAAATCTGGCATAAAACACAAATACAAAGCTAGCTCCCCGACTATAAATGCCAAGTCCTTTTTCGACTGTAAAACATAAAATCGGAATTTCGGAAAGTGTTTTACTAACTCAGAAACTTTCGCGGGCATACGTACAATGATTCTCCAAAGTTTCATCGCAATCAGATGAACGATGTACATAGGCATAACCCATAAAAGACAGACAGACAGACATTCATTTTTGTTTACATAGATAATAGCAGATCCGCCTATCGCGGCGAAACCTTGTATAGGTATATGGGTACATTAACATTTCTACAGTGTGCACATTTTAAATCCTTTTAAGTTTTTGTGAGGCAAGAGATGGCGTTTCACGACATAGTGATGTGTTGCAAAATCACACTGTGCACATTTTAAATATTTGAAAATATTGCAAGTTACATTGCTTACTTAACTTTCTGGTACCGGCACATAAGAAGTCTACAGCGGGCTATGCGCGGATGACTAATTTAGAGTTTGCCGTATAAACCAACTCTTGCTCCGTGGCGCGCTAATACGTGCAATTAATAGAATATGAATAGTGGGGGAGCGTATAAGCATAATCACACTGTGCACATTTTAAATCTGGTGTGTGAAGATGTTGTTTCCGAGCATGTTGAAGATTTGCAAAATGGCAATGTGTACACTATAAATCTTTTGAAGTATTGCGTATTTTTACACACTACGTGATTTACAGTTAATCGAAGTCGCGAATAACCTATACGTATCACTTTTTAATTTGACGGTTGGTAAGATTGAAAGTATTTGATTTGACGGTTGTTGTCGTTACTTCTCGTATTTACTTTTTCACTTACAGTTATGCAATGAAAAGAAAATAAAACACCTTAATTTCTGTTACCGTTATAAATATATTTTGAATACCACTCGTCACTTGTCTGATCAAGAATTGACAAGATTTTTTAATTTTTGGAAATTATTGAATTTCATTGTTTTCAAGTTCAAAGGCCCATTTTGAATCGTAATCTTGAAAATTTTGCGAAATTTTGAGAATATCCAGAGTCCTTTTTGCACCTGCTGATCTGTACTTGGTGCACGTTGGCAATATCAAAAACTTTCAATCTTTAGTGGAAGGGGGGTATAATCGAGGGAGGCGAAATCAACTGTCAACTATTCAGTTGTTTGACAAAAGAAAAACTGGGAATAATAATGGAACTTCGATTGTCCGCGTTGTATATATACAGGGGTGGCTCGTGTCTGTTCATCATTTGTTTGTCTGTTCGTGATAAAATTTTG